AGAAAGGAAATTGCTCTAAATTCTGTATTTGCTCTCATATCTTTGCTCCCATCAGTTTTGTGTTATTAATGATTTAGGGTACTCTGTTGCTGTTAGCATTGCATTTGTACTGAGTGCTTGTTAACATAAAGCTTAGCTCATTTTGTGTGCATTTAAGTTTCCAGGAAAAAAAAACAAAAAACTCAGATCTGGGCCTATAGCAAAGTTGTTGCAATATTACTCAGAAATGAAAAAAAAAAACAAAATAAGGAAATATTTCTAAACACTCTGGGAATTGAAAAGCTGTCTCGATGCTAAAAAATAAACTGCAATCATTCAGATATTCTTTAGAATCAAAGGCATGTTCCTCTCTGGTGGCTAATAGTGTCCATTTTTTTCAGCTGTCTGCTTCACCACCCCAGTCTGGAAGTGAATTGGCTGATGTTTACATGCAGAATGTTAAAACGGCATTTACATCTCACACTGCTCCTTGGCTGTTACCTCCTTCAGTTGCACAATGAAAATGCCTGGCTACTGAAATGCCAGAGTGAACGCGACCTGATTATAAAATGTGCTGGGGTGAATTGTCGGAGAGAACCTACACACTCCACACTTTGCCAGATACAATTCTCCAACCCCTCCCAGCCCTTTTGAGGTCCCTGTGTGACCCCAACAATGTGGCATTAGCGATATTGTCTATGACCTGCTCATCGAGTGGGATGATGAAATCCATTTTCTCAATCAGCATTTATTGAGCACCTGCTGTGGGAAGATAGCTGTGTTATCACCTCGACCTGAACGTTTCCACATTTTTTGTTTTGCCTTTCAATGAAATTTTATTTACAAAACCATATAATTCTTGGAGTACGACTTCATCCCTTGATATATGTGCTTCACTCATCCACCACCAAAGTTCTAGTTCACACTGACCTCTACCCATTCTTTTTTTTGGTTGTTTATCACAAATGAGTGAACGAACCAATAATTGTCTTTCGCTTTCCCACTTATTTCACTTAGCATAATTACCTCAAGTTCCAGCCATATTGTTAAAAAAAGGCACAATTTCATATTTTTGACAGTTGAATAGTATTCCATTGAGAGTATATACCAGAGCTGCTTTATCCAGTCATCCATCACTGAGCATTTGGGTTGTTTTCATGTCTTCGCCATTGTGGATAATGCTGCTGCTAACCTAGGGGTACATGTAGCTTTCCATATTAGTGTTTTCATATTCTCCAGATAAACACCTGGGAGTCGTAGTGCTGAATCATATGGTGCTTTCAGGCTTAGTTTTTTTGGGTTTTTTTAAAGATTTATTTTATTTATACAGGAACCGGGTTACAGGCCAGATGCACAGGAGGGTGAGAGGATTCACCAGAGATAGAGCGGGGAACAGAACAGGCAGACTGATGAAATACACTGTTGAGGGGAGCAGTGGGCGAGACAGGAGAGGTCTGTTTGCCATGTGGGACCCTCGCCAGCTTGCCGGGATCGAACCGACACTGCAGAGGCTGTGGACAGCTTCACAGCGCTGCGCTCAACCGCCTGCATCACCAGGGAGGCCCTCTGTTTTAGTTTTTTAAGGAATCTCCAGATTGTTTTCCATAGAGACTGTATCAATTTTACATTCCCACCAAGAGTGAGTGGTTTTGTTCTTCATACCCTACCAAGACCTGTTGTTTCTGGTCTTTTTGACATGAGCCATTGCCACAGGCATTAGCTGGTATCTGCTTACAGTTTTAATTTGCATTTCACTGATAAGAAATGATGATGAGCATGTTTTCATGTGCCTGGGTGCCAGACATTTTTTTTCATGTGTCTTCTTTGGAGAAGCATCTGTTAGGTCTTTTGCCAATTTAGCACTGAAAATAGGGTGTCCTAGAATCCCCTGTTTCCCAGGCAAACTAAGATGGTTGTTCCACATTTTCCTCAAAATTGTAGAGTTCTATCTAGATTGGCCAATTGTTAAAAATGTGCTGCAATTGTTCTTTCTCCCAATATATACACCTATGTGATGATCATGATTATGATTCCTCAACTACTCTGGAATAAGTTGTGGAAATTATAAACCTTATACACTGAATACTTCATCGGGTATCTCCTAAGAGCACAGCATTCTATTCATGTGGTATAATCATACCACATTATGATTTCATATTCAGGAAATTGAACATTGATGCATTACTACTATCTCATATAAAGTCAGTATTCACATATTGCCAACAATCTCAATAATGTCCCTTCCAGAACCATATATTGCATCCGGATGCCACGTCTCTTATTCCCCTTCAACTGGAAGTGCTCTTTAGCCTATCTTTGTCTTTTATAAGTGACAGTTTTGAGGAGTAGAGGCCAGTTGTTTGGCCAAATGTTCCTCATCTTGGGTTTCCCTGGAATGTCCTTATGATTGGGTCTAGGTTGTGAATTCTGGCTATGTAAGTGACGCACTCCTGTCACATCACATCAGGAGGCACCCTACTGATTTTTTTCCAAGGTAGAGAGAGGTTAAGGATAATGAGTCATCTGTGGGGGATGTTTTGAGACTGTGTCAATATCCCATTCCCCATCAAACTTCTACCCATGGCTGTTTGCATTTGCACTGATTTGCTAGAACTACCATAATGAAGCACCACCCAGTGTTGGCTTTAAAAAAATAAAACAGGAAGGTATTGTTACATGTTCTAGAGTCTAAAAGTCTGAAAGGACAGTGTCCCCAGGATAGTTTCCTTCCAAGGCTATGTGGGAGACTCTTCATTGCTTCAGTGCTTGTGGCAAGTTTTGGCATTCCTTAGCTTGCAGAAACATCACCCAATCTCTGTCCTCATCCTCACAAGGTGTTCTCCTGAGTATCTGTGTCTGTGTCCAAATTTCCCCCCTTTTATGAGAACAAAATCACATTGTATTATGACTCAGCTGATGACCCCATTTTCACTTAATTATCTGCCACAACCTTATTTCCAACTGAGGACACAATCACAGATGCTATAGTTAGATTCCAACATCTTTTGGGAGGACCCAATCCCCCTTCAATGGCATCTGTTGATGATACTTGCTGAGGTCAATTATTACTATGATGGTTGCAGAATGGTGGTTTTTCTAAGTATCATTCAACATGTATTATTACTCTGGGGGGTCTTTTTTAAGTGACAAAATGCATTAATCTGTGAGTGGATAGAAATGGTCACCTATCCTAGAGATAAAAAAACAAAAAGCAAATAACAAACTCGCAAACACAACTGTTTCAAGAATGGTGAGCAGAAAGCAATCGTCCTTGGTCATAAATCCCCTGGCCCATGAGATTGTCTGGAAGGAGAGCCAAAGGCATCTTGTGAACCAAGATCAGCACAACTGGGGGAGTCAGTGAATGCAGGTTGCAAACACTCCTAAACATTTACTTGTGCAGACTGCTTCTTAGAATGTCATTTCTCATGGATTCCTTTGATGCTCTAAAACAAGAGAAACATGCCCTTATTTGAGGAGATGTACAAGGTTCCCAGGTTCTTCAGTCCTCTTCAGTCCCTCATGGGAAAGCAGGTATTTCCCAGAACTGAAGCTTCTGTCATCATCAGAATTATAAATAAGTCTATATTATTCTGGAACTACTGAGAAGCATGACAAGAGACAAAATATAATGTCAGAGCTCTTTTATTTGCTGGTGTTCACTCTTCAACCCAAAAAAATCATCTTTGGAATATTCTCTCAAATCTGTACTCCATCTGCAATCATCAGAATAGTTTGCTGCCAAAGGCTGTAGATCTCAAATAAACCATAATGTATTAAGTCTCAGCAATTCTCCCTCCTGGGATGCTCTGTAGTTTTCAAAAGCTTTTGTAATAAAGGACCACAGACTGGGTGGCTAGAACACAGAAATGGATTCTCTTATAGTTTGGCAGGTCAGAAGCCCAAGTCAACATGTTGGCAGGCTTGATTCCTTCTGATGCTATGAGGGAAGTGTATTCTTCCTCTCTCTTTCCTCGACTGGTAAATATTTGTCTCCTTCTCTGTCTCTTATGTCATCTTACCTCTGTGCTGAACTCTATGTCCAAATGATTGCCATTAGTACCTACTGCATTGTGGTCCTGAACGCCATTTGAACTTCCTTTACCACTATCAGAAAGCTATCATCAAATAAGGTCACATCCTGGGGTGCTGAGGTCTTGAACTTCAGCATATGAACTTGGGCAGGGGCCCTAATTCAACCGATAACAGAGATACTTCAACCACCCCTAGATCTTTTCAGTGTTCACACAGACAGAACAGAAAAATCACGCTGTGACTGCATGAACCTAGGTGCTATTTATGGAGCCAGAGTGGTATTGAATCACTCTCCCTACTTTTCCACTAGTGACAAGTTAAAGCTGAGCCTGAGAACACTACTGAAATTCTCCCTGAGTGTCTCCTGATCATCTGCCCATAGGGTTGTGGATTTTACACTGACCTGTGTTTAGACTGGCTTTTGTCTTGATGGTGCTAGAGCTGTTGAAGTGCATTTGGTTAACTACTCACCGCCCAAATGTGTGCTGTGTGGACCTGTCATTTGGCCAAGAGCAGAGGTTACCAGCAGCTGAATTAGTGACAATGCTTGTTTCCACAGAAACAAGAAAAACATTAGGGCAGCCTTGAGTCTTGGTGTGTTGTTTAGGGGCATTTATCTGAAACCAAGCAAATCAATTCTAAAGAATATACTAGACTTGTGCCATGGGGACTCGCAGCCAGAAAGAGACTCCCAGAACCAGTTGAGATACTTCCTAAGGTTTTTAACTCAAAGGCTAGGTGAACAAAAAGATGGAACCCAAAAACCAATTACCTGAGAACTCTCTGCCAGAAGCTAGTTGAGAGAGGAGGAAGGGAGGCTATTCTGGGCAAGAAAGCCTGCAGCCCAGTGTCTCTGTCTTCGAGCTGGTGCATAGTTTGTGCAAGTCCTACCCAAGATTTGTTAACCTTCACCTCGTTGTGTCTCTGTGTAGAAATGGACAACGCCTGGGAGTATATTTACTCTCTTTCCTTGGTTTCTTGATCAGGTCACAGACATAAAAGAGAAACTGAAGCTCTCTAAAAAGGTCTGGTCGGCGTTACCCTACACCATCTGCAAGGACGAGCGTGTGACCGCGGGCACGTCCAACCAAGAGGACTGCTGGAACGGGCACAGCAAAGCCAGGTGAGGTGACACAGGGCTCATATGGGCAGCCCTGCATATGCAGCCCCAGAAGGTTGTCCTGGCACAACTCTGCAGACTTGTTTATGCAAAAAAAGTAACGGCTTGTGGAGGGACAAGTTGTCACTTAGCAACAGCTGTTCCGAGAGACAGGTTTGATGGACACCTGAAAGCACTTACTCCCAAGGTGCCCTGGAGCATGGCATCCTTGTTCTGAAGGCCTGGCCTCGGGATGATGAGGGTGGGGGGTGGGCACAGATGCTGGGTTACAGGTCTCCTGTCATCACCAAGAGCTCCCTGAGGTGCACGTAATAACCTCAGGAGAGCAGAGCTTTTATGGCCATAGTTAAATTACACAGTTTACCTTTTTTGGTCATCACAAGTTAAACAGAAGTGAAAATTCTCATGTCATCTTTTTCACTCTTGGGGGAGAAAAATTTTTAATTGCTCATGGGAAATAGAGTGGGCAAGAAAATGAGGAGGGATGGCCAGAAGAGCGATCCACAGGCCCCAGCCCTGGGAGTCCTGTGGGGATCCTCCGATGGCACGTGGCACTTCATCCTTCTCGGCTGCCCCGTGTCCTGGCCGCTTGATACGGAATTTCTGGATTTCTTGATTCAGCCCAGAAATTGAGTTGGCCTGAGTTTTCATAGGGTGGAGAAGTTGGAGCAGGGAACTGACTGGGAGTTGGCAAGGAGGCCAGGATGCCAGGAGAGGAGGCTCTCCAGGCCCCCTCCGCCGGGCTGCAGGTGGGGAGAGCAGCTGGCGAGTTGGATTCAAGGAATCTTTGGGGATCACCCAGCAGGTGGAGAAGCTGAGAGGGGAGTCTGTTCTGGGCTATTTCATGTGTATGAAGCAACTGTGTTGAAAAGGGAACAAGATTTGTGATCTTAAGCTCAGGAGCAACTGCAAAAAGGTGAGCAGGGAGGCAAGCGAGGTGCTTGCTGGGTGTTACTGCTTACGCTGCTGGGTCCCATTTTTTAGCATCTATCGGAGATGATGTTATTAACCAGATCAGGGAGAGTTTGGCAAGGGGAGATTAAGACAACTGTAGAAAGAGCTATAATCACCTCAAGGTGCCGGAAATACCAAATCGTGACTCGTGAGGGCACGAAGGGATATTCGTGATATCAACAGTATGTCCCTCACAAATGCTCAGTACGTGGCCTCTTAAGAAGGAGACCTTTGTCAGGCACCCTCCATTTTGAAGAGCATCTAATGTGTCTTTTCCTAGTGACTATAGAGAAAGACCCCGCTAAGGATGACCATTTGACCTCAGGAATAAAGTGGTTGCTGTTTGGAGGGTCTCTGAAGCCCATCTGTGTTTACCTTCCACACTGGGCTAAAACGAAGGCTGTGTTGTGAACTACATGCCCATGGATAGTTATGCAGGTTGTTGGTTGTAAGCACATGTGCGCTTTCTTACGAAGGGACATCTAAAGAGTGATTGACAGTCGGGATGAAGGGGGGCTACACTCCTTGGAGACAGTGAACGGGGAACACAAAAACCTTTGGCGTTAGAGCTAGAGGTCACCAGGTCGTCTCAGCCAAGTTCTTCATGGTGCAGGTGAGGAGCCCAGACGAGGTCAATGAAGGTCACCCATCCAGCAAGGGTGAAAATCCCCCACAAACATCTGCAAGATTATTAAGCACTTGCTCTGCCCAGGCACCATGCAAGCCTCGGTAAAGTCACTGTTACAAGTTGCCAAGGCAGAAACACAAGAGAAGTCACAGACCGGAGAGAGGTCAGAGGATGTGGAACCGTGAGCACTGGATTGCTGGACTGTAGGTGTGGGGAAGGCCCCACGGGTGGAGGTGCACCTGGATCAGTATGCAAGGGCCCGATATAATTTTATCCTGACGTCAGTGGAACCCTCTGGGGGATTTTATGCAGGTGAGGAAAATTACCCAATTTAATGCAGTAAATCATTTGCAGGAATACTCCAGCATTCAACACGGTATATTATTAAAAAGATGGGGCTGTCAAGTGTTTTTGTCACAAGTGTTACTCCCATTGAGAATTTATGACTTCACATTTTCTTTTAGTTCTTTTTCTAAAATTCTGTCACTGGAATGGAATATTAATGTTATCACTTGCTATCTAGTAGCACAGTGGGTAGATAACCGATGAAGACTTGTTGAATTAAATTTAATTGAAGCTTTCTTCTCCTCCAAATACCAATTCATCTAGAAACACATGAGAGAAGTTTTTGTTTAAAAAAGTCCCACTGAACTCGTGTAAGCTGAAAACATTTGTAATGCAGGTAATAACCTATTTTTTTGCCTTCTTAAATTTTTAGGAATAACTGTCCAAAAAGAGAGACGAGTTGTCTTATCGCCCCTGTGAAATAAAAGAATGAAAACCCTTATTTAAAAAAATAGGCACATTCTTTGGTTCCATTCACGCCTCTCCCATTTAGTCCTCAGTATTTGCTTCTTTTTCGTAGCCCCTCTATTTCTGATTCTTTTGTAAAAGCCACTCCGAAGTCTTTATTATGCTCCCTTCATTCAGAAGCACACGTATGTCCCAATGTAATTTTTTGAAATCAAAATAAGTCCTGCAGTGGATAGGTCATTTACGCAGATGATCTTCCTTCTTTGTCCAAATAACTGCTATTAAAAAGCAGCAGCTGTTGAATGATGCCTTGAACTGGGCAGGAGACAGGACACGCGTAGCAGCGGCGGCTTGGTCACCACAGGGTGGATACACAGCGTCGGGGTGTGAGCGGTGGCTCCCGGCGATAAGAACCCACCATTGTGTCCCTGCTCCCACCTCCCCCGTTGAGTGTCTAAACAGGTGTGGAAACCAGGACGTGGGATGGAGGAGGAACTGCACCCTGGTTAGAAGGAATTCAGGGGTGCCTGAGGATGGCCCCATTTGACATCTCGATCTCCACTGACAGCAAGACCAGGTGGTTAAGAGAACACTTTCCTTGCTTCCCCTTCTTATCCCAACCTATTGGGAGAATCTGTTTTGGAGAAGGCTGAGTGAAGTGTGTGCACATATGGGGGTGTGAAAATGTACCCACAAAATTATATCAATATATAAATGACAGAGAAATCAAGAAAAGTTGAAAAAAAAACTTTTTTAAATCACTAAACATAAATTCTGATTATAGCAAAATACTTACTTTTCCATTTTAACTTTGTCCAAAACCTTAAAAAAAAAAGCAGAAAGGGTTGACTATATGACTCAGCACGCCTAGATATCTGCCCAGAGAACAAAAAAATGCTGATTTGAAGGGTAGGTGCACTTCCGGCTGCATTGCAGCACTCGTTACAACAGCCACGCGATGGCAGCAGCCTCAGTGCCCAGGCCAGCAGATCGGTCTACAGACGCAGTGGGTCCTGCTCCACTCTAAGGGGAAATAAATGAAATCTTGCCATTTGTGACAACATGGGTGGAGCTGGAGAGGATTATGCTCCACCACACTCTAAGTCAGGAGGAGAAAGACAAACGCCAGATGATTTCACTCATGTGTGCAACAGAAAGAAATGAAACAAGGGACAGAAATAATTAACCCCAAACAAATTCTAGAAATCTGACTGAAGGATGAGACTACCAGAGGGGGGAAGGTAGGGGAGGGGGACACGTGAGTAGGGGGCCCTGAGACTGTGGTGGATGATTATGGGTGCTTTTGTGATAGATATGGAGGTTCTCCTACATCTGAGGAGGTGTGACCCCCACACACTGAAATCACAGTGTTATAAACCAACAATAAAAATAATACAGTTTGGGGCCTCCCTGGTGGCGCAAGGGGTTAAGATGCAACCTGTGTAGCTATCTGCAGCCTCTGCAGCATGAGTTTGATCCCCGCCCGGCCAGGGAGCTATCCACATGGCGTGGCAGACCTCTCCTGTCTCGCCCGCTGCTCCCCTCAGCAGTGTATTTCAGTCAGTCTGCCTGTTCTGCTCCCCACTGTCTCTGGTGAATCCTCTCACCCCCCCATACCTCTGGCCTGTACCCCAGTTCTTGTATGCATAAATAAATAAATCTTTACAAAAGTGATACAGTTCTGAAAAAGCAGGAAGGGCAGCGCAGGTGCATCTTCAGTGGGGAGCAGGAAAGGGAGTTTGCAGCGTAACTTCCTGGCCTCCATTTCTCACCTGCTTCTCAGGAAGAAATGAGAGAAGACTCAGCAACCCTGACTCGACTCAGACAAATAGGAAGCTGGTGAGCAAGGGAGGAAAATCGATAATAATCTAGAAGATGAAAGGGAAAAAAATTAAAAGAGTCATGGTACAGGTTACAAATCTAGACCTCCTAAAGTTCCGGGGGTGAACCTAGGGCCCCCCAAGGACACCTGCCGTCGTCTGTCATCCCTGCGAAGGGCGTTCTGGGCAGCGGTGTGGCCGGAATGAGCTGTCTGCACGGGCGCTGGGGAGAGTGATGGGGGGCAGGAGAGTATGGGCTCCCGGGGAAATACAACTTTTCGCTGGTTAGCATATGCAGGCTCAGACCGTGGCAGGCAGTGGCAGACGGAAAAATAAAGCCCTCGTGGTGTTCGTGGAAGATCTTCCTTTTTTGCTCGCAGACAGGCGGATTCTCTCTGAGAGACTGCAGCCATGTCCCATTACCTCATCGGTTTCTTCCTTGAGGATGGTTTTCTCTGCACGGGGACCCGTTTCTAGCCTGATTGTGGTTAAAAAGGAATGAGGAACTTGGGGGGCTGTGGGGTGGGGCAGGAAGAGACCAAATAAAAGCCTGTTGAAAGACAACTCTCCAAAGCGCGTGCATTTCAGATACGACGTCGGTAATGTCTGTGTCTTCGGGGTTTCTGAGTCAATTATTTCCAGACTCCTCACCCACCGCCCCTAAAATGGGCAAAACCACATTCTATTTTAGTTCCTTGTGAGCCGGTGTTTAACCATCACTGCGCCCTGCCTTTAAAATGCCTTCAGGGGGGAGGTGATCGCGAGGGCAGCTGAAGGGCAAGGATTAATTGAATCCGTTGGAAACAGCTTTTGCGGGGAGCCTCTGCTGGTTTTTAAGCACCTGATCA